TAGCGAGGCCACTATCTACTCTAGTGATACCACTATAACCACAAATATGCAGATTGGTGACAAATGACAAATGTGGCTTCTATCCAATCAGGGTTCATGAAGTTCAGCCAATGGTATAGCCCAGAGGGTAAAAAGTAACAAATAAAACACTGTGAAACAGAAATTGTACTTTTTCAAAGTGGAAACATTCTTGCGTCGACAAGAAGGAAGGGCTGGTAAAAATAGAAATTTACGGTACGATGTTGATGGGGACTTCTAGGAAGGGACAGCCGGGCAGGTAATTAAAAGTTTAGTCACTTTGTTTAATATGTTGTAGTGTGCACTTAAAATCTGAATATCGTTTCGTCTTTTGGGATTTTCACAAATATTCCTGTTTAAGTTCGAATGTTGTAGTAGTATAAACTCAAGAGGTATGTTCTGCATGTATAAAACACGTGAGCCTATATCTCGATACATTGTTCAATCAAATGTTGCTTAGTTTAATATAAACAAAGTAGAAAATAGAAATCAAAATATACTAGATATACAGAACGGATATTATATGACACTGTACTATAATAATACATGTATAATGTACTGTAGAAAAGATATGGAGACTTTATAGTAAATATCAAATGAGACATGTTCATATATGAGTATATAAATAGAAAGTCTTTATTTATCATTCACATGTGATGTAAATTTAAGATACATGACAAGATGGATCCTTGGTCTGGTTGGACCAAATCCACACTGCAGAGTTGGTCAAAGACTTTATTTAACCTAGATTTATTTAACTTGCTCCCCAAGTTTCTATTCTTGGGTTTCACTACAGCATTATTCAGTGATTCTCAGACCTGTCAAGTTTTGAAAAATTTTATGTGGGAAGGTAATTTCCTTAGGTTAGTGTCCATGAGTCGCCACCATAGTTGGCGCACCCAGGGGGGAATTTTGAAGTTTGAGTTCCCCAGATTGCCAAAATATTGCCTTTCTGAGGGTTTTCTTCCTCCTTTTTCAAAGCACAAACCTTATGTGTTCATGCTATAAAAATATGAAATGTTAGCGTCGCTCCTTCCCAAACGGCAAAAAATAGCACTCCTCAGGCTAAGGAGTCTCAAGACTTCTGGGTACTGGCATTGGCAAAAAGAATGCATTGAATATTGTGCAAATGAAAAGAAATGGGAGTGATATTGCCCCACAGGAAGAAACCTCGACAAATTAAGTTTAAAAATGTGGGAAGAAAGTTTCTCATGCGTGATGCTGAAAGCAAACAAAAATGCGGGAATTTCAAGGTAATTGCAAGGTAATTGCGGGAAACTTGGAAGGTCTGGATTCTGACGGGGGGTCAACCTCAAATGTATTGATGCTTATGCTGTACTGGAATGAGAAAATGATACGAAATTCCATGTCTTTGTCACCAAACACAAGTCACAAAACGAACAATCGACTCACTCTGATAACTGTGTTTTGTTTTAGAGTTGACCCCCCGTCACTTTTGTGACATATGAAACCCAAGAATATACGATTTTATTTCAGAAAGCACATATGGTATGGTTTGTGTTAATTAACAAGATTTATATTGCATGATGATCAAAGCAAAGATGATTATTTAAATATTGCAGAGCTTGCCATCAAATAGCTTAGCTAAAATGCATCAAATAGCTTAGTGATATGCATTAGCTAAAATGCATCAAATAGTCAGCTAATTAAATATCATGTATGTCTGTCTTACTTACTAATACATAGCCAGCCGCAGGCATGCAAGCCACCATAGATCACTAGGGATGGGCCGATATCGATACCAAATACTCAATACTATTGATACCAGGGAGCTGAAAAAAGTATCGATACTGGCAACAAATATCGATTGTTCGATACTTCTGAACCTGCGATATTCTTTGGTCAGTTTTGGCATATATATAATGTTAATCTTACATAATGGAAGCCTACGATTTAGAAGTTATGTAATTAATTACCGGTAATTAATTAATCAGGAATTGAGATTAGCTAACAGTTAAAGCCCATTGGGATTGTGGGAACCACAGAAAATATAGAGTGAGTCACATGCAGGATTTGCGCTAGATGACACTGGACCTTCATATTTGAGATATTTATTGTTTTCTCTTGGTATGCAACACTAAACAATTCTGCTTGTTATTGTTCTTCAGTGGTTGGCTGTATATCACTATAACTTACTACGCCCACTATATAGCTACGCAGTAATGAACATGCAAATCCCAACTAAAACCTTTGTGATTATACCCCAGTTGTAATTACCTTGTAACAGTGCCCAGCCAATACCCTCAATGACTTATGGATATTTTTAAGGATAAATCCAAAGACATAAATTACATAATGGCATCAAATGATAACGGTGAAGAAGAGCCTGTCAAAGAACAAAGTGAGGGCAAGATGGCCATACATATGAACATTGCAGCTCATCAGCTTCTCTCCAAGTTACTGAGACCAAAATCTCCAGAACATGACTGGGAAAGTCTGGCTGATCTAATGCGATTTAGCTATGAGGAGATCCTGAATCTTAGATGTGATTTAGATCCCGTTGAATCAATAATTCGTCAGTGGGAAAGACAGTCGGATGCAACTGTTGATAAACTTCTCTCATTCCTAAAGGAAATAGAAAGATTTGATGTGATTGAAGATCTTCAACCATTTATAAGTATGTAGTGGAAATTATTATTTTATGTTCTAAATAAATAGCCAGTTACATTAAGTGTGTGAATATAGATCAACATACCAATTTAATTAATATGCCAACTGATGTAGTTGGATTTACCTAGACCAATTTCCAATTTACTAATCTTTCTTAATTGTACAGTACCACAGTAGTTTACATTTTGGAGTTTGTGAGGTGTGTTGTTTGGATTTGCTTTATTTCTTGTTGTAATCGATCTGATCATGTGACATGCAGTCATAGAAATAATAGACAATAATGTCTATTATTTCTATGCATGCAGTTGATAGATAGAAAAACTTTATTTATCCACGCTAACCCTGTCAATCAAAGCTGATTTCCACAGGGGGCGTGCAAGAAGAAAATTACATTAGTAGAAAAGAAATTACAGTAATATAAACGTAGTTACAGGAATAGTTATTTACAAATAGTAAAAAGTACAAATATTATAGAAATAGTAGAGAATAGTTATTTATGAATAGTAGAACTATTAGACTGTATATTTATTTAGAAAATGTGAGCAGCAATATTCTTTTGAATGCATGACAGAGATTTGCTTTCCCTAATTCCATTTGGAATAGATTTCCATAGTCTCCTGCGCAGACGTTGTTAGTGGCCGAGGCCCCACCTAACGTCTGCTCACATTCGCCATACATTTGACTTCCCGGCAATTAACCAATCACAATCATCTACACGATAATTGGAAGATCGACCTTCACATGCATGGGCTATTAACAAGTCTGTAGTATTTTTAAATTTGAAAGTTTTAAGTCCCGTTTACACTACGCTCAATTTTTGGTATAGCACGGATAAATTGGTACCAGTACCACTTTTTTGGTAAAAAAGATTTCCGTATAAAATTGGTACCTGTACCACTTCTTTGGTTCTTGGACTACCTAACTAGGTAGTCCAAGAACAAAAAAAGTGATATTCGAAAGAATCAAGAAAATACCAGAACTCTGAAAAATCGGGGTTCCGGCCGGAACCGAGCTCCGGTGCACACCTATCTACAAGTTAAAATTGGTATATAGTCCGAATATAATTCAGCTGACTTGTATGAGGCTGCTTGTGAGATTGCCCCATGCACCAGTTTTGAGCCCCCCCCCGCCCTTGCTTGAGAAAATTTAAGAGAATGTTTCTGAATATGTTGTTATTGTTGTTATTCCATCTTTTCAGGTGAAACACCTACACCATCATTATATGAAGAAAGAAGAAAGAAGAAAGGTATAGTGGTCCTGTATTAAATATATGAAATTAAAACATTCTTCTAGAACTGTCGGTAATGACTAATGTGGTCACCCAACTACATATAGGCCTAATATTTTAACTGTTAAAAAAATTTATTCCAATACAGTTTCAGAAAATTACAGTCAAAGTCCTGCTGTTGGTAAATTACCCATTGAACTGGAACAATTAACTGGTATTTATTTCATTCTTTAAAGTTTAAGTAGTGTAACAGCACCTTTGTTCAAACTCTAAGTATGTTTTTGTTTTGTCAAGTCGTTATAGTACGGTTTTAATTCGGAGAACGAAGCTGTGTACTGGCTTAACATGTCAATTCAATTCAATTTCAATTTATTTAAGTTTAAGTTTCACAATACATTTTCAAAAACAACCATATCCCGCGATTTTATCATTCCTTTATTTCCTTTAGTCTCAGATGAAATTTTTGATGGATTTATTTGTTATGCGAAAGAAGACAGAAGCTTCGCACTTGAGATACTCACGCGGTTGGAAGCTCCTCCATATTGTCGTAAAATTTGTATCGACTTTCGTGACTACGTACCAGGAAATTGTCGATTGGATCAAACAGCTAAGATCATAGAACATCGATGTAAACATTTAGTTGCTATTTTGTCGCCAAATTTTACAAATTCTTCAAATGCTGGTTTTCAAGTCAGGATCGCGTTGAATTTATCCCCAGGTGAGTCTAACCTGCAACGTTAATAAACCACTAGGAAAGATGTTGTAATCTTTGTCGATCTCACCCTGTAAAAAGTAATGGGCACTTGCGAAATTGTTTTTGAGAGGAGGGAGGTAGGATGTGGGTTAAATTGCCCACATATAGCCACCTTTTGCTCCTGGAAATCTTAGTTCTTTAAACTTTTTTTTGCGTGAACTCTCGGTTGTACTGAATTAGTTTTAATGTTAAGAATGTCCAAAGTACCTTTTGTCTGAACTTTTTCAATACCCATGCAATAAAATTTACCAACGCATTTTTCACGTATACTATTACTGCGTGCAGGAAAGGTCTGTTGGCATCAAACAGCCCTTGTACAAAAATAGGTACGCACTGCGCACATGTGGCTAGCCTATTCACTATTCAGCCTGTCGAATACAGCTGGAGTTCACATTGTCATGAACATTCATCACAAACATTCATTGTGATACAAAATT